GCGCCTATTACAGAATGACATTGTGGCTCAGGCGCTGCGGCGCACGTGATAATAGGCCGCGCGGATTTCACCGAACAGGTTTCCTCCGAGATAGCTTGGGGGTCGCGGCGGATTTCACAGAGGCGTACTCCTCCCTTTCTGTTTGATCCGCCGCGGCGTTTTCTCCAAGAGGCCGCGGCGGATGCCTTCTTTTCAGCTTTACTCCATTCTTTACTCTCCTCAGGCTTTGTTTCCTGCAAAATTGACTTATAAACCCAATAAAAGAGCGTTAAATCAGCTTAATTCAGTAGGAATTTTGAGAGGTTATCACACCCCCAAACTTACACTTTTGCTCGTCCTCGAGTAAAACAACAAACCAGCGACTAAGTGACAAAATTGCACATTAAAGATTGTAGGAACAGTTGTATCCTCATCAAATGCTCAAGAAATTATACAGGATAGGAAATTACTGAATCACCCAAAGAAACAAGTTTCATGAACTTAAAACAAACTTTCAATGATTTTGGAGTGTGAGTGTGTGTATAGAGTCAATGAGCATCTCTTAAGATACTGTTTCAGTGGAATGGGAGACTTTAGCCAACATACTAGCTAACCTTCAACCGCATCCTTTCATAAGCCTAACTTCTTCTCTCTCTCTGTCTACAACTCACCCCATATACATTTGAAATCAAAGGGACTTTTCGGCTTATAACGTGGCCAAGAGGTAATGGCTTAGGAAAGAAAGGGGAAAGTAGATCATACAAATACTTTGAGATAAATAGATATTCAATAATCAGAACTTACTTCAACCACTTTCATTCTCCCAAACTTGTACCACAATTATTTGTATATAGATATGTATATATACATTTTTTTTTTTTTTTTTGTTTTTTGCTGTTTTTTTTTTTCACATTGAAAACAAAAATTTACAGCTTAGCTCCTAACACTTTAATTTTCAGAATAATTGACTACCCCTGCCAACCTTTCAAAATCTCCACATTTCATCAAACCCCTTATCCTTTCAACTTCCATTTATCTCAAAGCTAGGATTTCATGGTTTTTCTCAATTGGTTTTGGGTTAGGAAGAGGTTAGGGTTTGAAACAAAACTTGAACATATATACTTTTTTTTTTTTGGCTCAAAGCATGGGTTCAAAGGATAAAACCTATAAGGTCAGCTTGAAAGGCTCAAACGCATTTAAGAACTGCCCTAATCCTTTTTCAAATTCATATAGAACAAACTATAAACTTTGAGAAATCAGAAGAAGGTTATGAAACAATTTAGTTGAAACAAAAGTATAGAGGCTAAATTATCCACTCAACCTCAACATAACCCCTTGAAATGTCTTGACCCTTTTAGTGCATTAGTTTCTCCAAAATTAAAGAAACATAGGTTTTAACCTCACAAATCAAGCATCAAAGAGCAATTCAAAACTTCCTATCAAGCATAGTAACTAAGCATTTTGTTCAATCATTGGACCATTCATACATTCTCAACTGACAACTTGCCACTTCACAGCATATTTCATAAAATCAACCGAGCAAAAATTTAAGCTGACAAAATTTCTACTGTTTCAGCTGTTTCAAAATTTTCTCAACAAAATGACCTTTCAAAAATTTTCAAATATAACCCTGTTATCCACAAAATTTTCAAATTTAATCCTGTTATCCATAAAAATCCTATTATCCAAAAATTTCAATCCTCACCCCCAAACTTAAAATTGACAGTGTCCTCACTGTCAACAAGAGGAAGTAAAGATCAGGGCATGCAGGCAGAATTGAAAAAACAATAAATTCGCTGCATGAAAGGTCAAAATTTCGCTTTCTTCCTGTACAAGTATATCAGTATGCACAACTATCAATAGTATGTCATCAGATAATCATAATGAAATCATCAATTACTAAAGGCATCCACAAATTAATCAATCAAAAGATCCGTTAACCATTCACAATTTCAAACAACAATGACAGATATTAGTCAACAGTCAGAATCAGTTCAACAGGCCATCAGTAGCCTTGCCAGAATCATAGAAGCAAACAACACACAAAATAGACCAAAATGCAAGAAAATTCAAAAACACACAAAATGACAAAAGCAGCAAAGCAAGCAACAACAGCAGCAGAAATGGCCCCAGCTAGTCATCCTCCTCCTCAGAATGCTGATCCCCCTGATCCTCATCACCCTCTGCATATGGATCGACAGCCATATCATCGCCCGAGCCAATACCAGCCCCAGAAGTTCCAGCTTCATGTTCATCTTGGTGACTCTGCCTCAGTGCTTGTATCTTCCACATCCGGCGCATCAATGTCCAATTTCCTTGCAATCTGGACTAATAGCTCCTCCATGCGCCTTTGTCTACGTCTCCTGTGACGTATCTCTCTGTCCAATTTCTCATGGAGGAGATCCAAGCTTTGAGTGGTAGGGTCAACACTGGCACTGGCTCGAGCTTCCTGTTGCCTCCTATATTCCTCGGGAATTGTTCAGCAAACATGGCTTCAGTGATCCGTTGTTGTTCTCGTTCAGGAACCAGATTAGAGTAGTTGAATGGTGAAACAGGTTTGAACTTTCGGTCTTTGTCTTTCCACTCTACCCCCACTTTAGATAGCAGATCCGAGATGAGGTGAGGCATGACGAGATTTGTATTGTGGGCTCTGCAGGCATCCCAGATGGCATCAAAAATCAATTTTCCTACATCTACTGTTGCCTTGATCATAAGCAGATATATCAGGAGTGCCAGATTCCTTGGGGCTTCACTGAGATGTGTGGTTGGCATAATGTTTCTTGTGACAATATGCAACCAGATTCTGGCCTCCGGTATCATGTCTTTTCTCATAATATATGCCTGGCCCTCTTAGGCCGCACCCACATCTCATCAGAACCAGTGAGTGTTGCTGAGATGGCATCGAGGGGAATCTCCTTCTGATTGTTGAGATAATACTGATATTGGCACTTGTCCACCTCGGGAAGCTCATAGTGATCTCTGATGCGCACCGGAGTAATGAGGAAACGCTTGGTACCGTATAAACATCTCATTACTCAAGTTTGTTGCCACCCTAACATAGAATTTTCTGACCAGCTTCTCATTCCCTTCGCTTTTGGGACCAATCAGATTTAAGAGGTTGAGCTTCCTTGCTTTCTTATAGAAACCGAATTTATTTGTGCACGGAAATTCTCTTTCTTGATGCAAACCTCTTTTTTCAATAAGCTCTTTGATTGGAGGATCAGGGGAGGTAGCACGGGCTTTCTTCCTGGGGGCCATTGGATTGTTACCTGCAAAGAGAAAACAAAGCACACCACACACAAACTAAGCAAATAACACACTACAATTTAATTTCACTTAAATCAGACATACTCCCAATTCAAACCAAGTTCACAGGCTTTTGTCTTTAATTTCAAAATCAGACAACCATCAGTAGCTGCCAATTTAAACTAATTTCACTAATCAGAATAACATTTCCAAATCAGTTACAAGTGAAAAAGAACAACATAACTTGGGTAATGAACCGGTGTTATTTGAAAATTTAGACAAGCATCTCATTTTCTCAAATCAGGTCCAAGCTATGATCACTCAATTTCACAAGTATCACATTTTAATCAGTATATGTTCACAAATAGTTGGACAATAAGGAATTATCACCTAACCACAATGTAACTTCAGAGAATCAAAATGCCCCCATCTAGAGTTCAAAAATTCATCTAACCACAATGCTCAACCCTAACATTACCCATCCTCAGCAAAACTAAACTAGAAGAAAATAAATAACAGAAAAAACAAGAACACTAACCGGCGAACGAAGAAAGGATGGAAGCGGACCGAAGCAAGAACAAAGAAGAGAGTTGCCGACTTGAGGGAGAGAAGGAATGGCGGTTGGAGACGAGAGGGAGAAGGCGACCGGTGGTTGGAGACCGAGGGGCGATGGCTGGCGACGAGGGACTGAGGGGTGACAGGAGATTGATAGGCGATGGGAGATTGAAGATACACAATGGGAGAAGCTGAATATAGGACCGAAGTAAGGTTTTGACGGGAATGGGGGGTTTTGAAATTGGGATTGGGAGTGAAAAGACCAAAGGGTTAGGGTTTTAAAATTAAATCAAAGAATCTACCCTCAAAACCGGTCAGATACGCAAGGGCAAAGTGGGTATTGAGACAAATGAGCAAGGCTAAAACGGGGAACACAAATCTGGAATGCGATAAGGCGCCACGGCAGATTCACCAAGGCGCCGCAGCGCCTTTTACAGAACCGAACACTCTTGTTAAAGAAAGCGCGCCGTGGCGTCTATGTCTAAACGCCGCGGCGGTTTTTACCGAGACAAACCGAACACCACAGACGAAGGCGTCGCGGCGGATTAACACAGGGGCCGCGGCGCCTATTACAGAAAGAGGACTCTGAACAGACGAGGCGTCGCGGCTTCTGATCAAATGCGCCGCGGCGCCTCACACAGAGAAGGCCTACACGAAAAATTAATAAACACAGACTGGACCTATCAAACTCAAACACCCTACACACAATAAAACAAGACTAAACACAAAGCATAAGCATAAAAACAAACACAAGACAAACAACCACATAAAAGCAAAACCCACAAGCCTCAATTTAACACAAATTCAAACCAATCAAGGTCAATGCCACTGCTGGAGATTAAAGTTAGATGTACTTCCCTGGTTGCGCTAATTAGAAATCAACCACTCCTGCTAAGCTCCAAAGTTTGAGGAATAAACCAAAAGGCCTACAAAAACAAAGATCAAACATAAATCTACTAAAACAAAACTGAAATAAAAGAAACACATCAAAGGCAAGTTTAGAGCTTGGGTTGCCTCCCAAGTAGCGCTTGGTTTATAGTCTTCAGCCTGACTCTTCAGCTCTGTTATGATTTTATTTTTATAATTATTAATATAGAATAATATTAATATAAATTAATATAGATAAATGGGTCAAAAGTCGTCTTTCTTGAAAAAGTAAGAAAAAGACCTTTCGTTAGAAGTTCGAAAAAGTCTGCTATGAAAAAGAAAGGGGTTGAAATCTACACATTGATTCTTTTCGCGATTTTTGGTGAACCGTATGCATCAAAAGGTGCATTGTTCAGCAAAGTAGATTGTAGAGACTTGACATCCACTTTTCCACCCCAACAATGCTTCAGATGATGGCCATTTGCATGAAATCTTTCACCTTTTTCATTTTCCAGCTCCACCGCACCATGGTTAGCAGCTTGTACCACAGTGAATGGCCTTGACCAACGTGATTTGAGTTTGCCCGGAAATAATCTCAATTTGGAATTATGAAGTAACACCTTTTGCCCCGCTTCAAAGACCTTGGGGATAATTTTCTGATCATGATACTTCTTGGTCCGTTCCTTATAGAGCCTTGCACTTTCATAGGCATTAAGGCGAAATTCCTCTAACTCATTCAGTTGTAGGAGCCTTTTTGCACCAACAGCTTGAAAGTCAAAGTTGAGCTTTTTTATGGCCCAATAAGCTCCATGTTCCAATTCTACAGGCAGATGACATGCTTTTCCAAACACCAACCGATAGGGAGACATCCCAATCGGAGTTTTATATGCTGTCCTGTAGGCCCAAAGAGCATCATCCAGTTTTAATGACCAATCCTTTCTTGTTGCACCTACTACCTTCTCAAGAATGCTTTTGATCTCTCGGTTGGATATTTCTGCTTGGCCATTTGACTGAGGATGATAAGCCAAAGTTACCCTGTGCTTTACACCATATTTCTTCATCAGAGCTTGAAATTGATGATTGCAAAAGTGAGAACCGCCATCACTAATAATAGCCCGAGGTGCTCCAAATCTCGTGAAGATGTTTTTCTTTAAGAATTTGATCACCGTTTTAGCATCACTGGATACACATGCAGTAGCTTCAACCCATTTCGAGACATAATCCACAGCAACCAGAATGTACTCTTGATTGAGAGACTTTGGAAACGGGCCCATGAAGTCAATTCCCCATACATCAAAGAGTTCAACTTCCAGAATATTATTCAGAGGCATTTCATTCCTTCTTGATATGTTTCCCACTCGTTGACACCGATCACATCGGATCACAAAGGCATATGCATCTTTAAATAGTGAAGGCCAATAAAAACCACTTTGAAGGACTTTGGCAGCCGTTTTCTCTCCTCTAAAGTGCCCACCATAAGCTGAAGAGTGGCAACACTCTAGAATATCTTGCTGCTCAACTTCCGGAACACATCTTCTTATCATCTGATCGGCACATCTTTTGAACAAGTAAGGTTCTTCCCAGAAGTACATCTTTGCATCGTGAAGAAATTTCCTCTTTTGATGGGAGTTAAGGTCTAGTGGCAGAGTTCCACAAACCAGATAATTAACCAGATCTGCATACCATGGAGTAGTTGAGTTATCCACAAAGAACAAGCATTCATCGGGAAAAGCTGCATTGATCTCTTGACAATGATCATGTTGAGCTTCACTACTTAATCGAGATAGATGATCGGCCACTTGGTTCTCAGTGCCTTTCCTATCAACAATTTCCAAGTCAAATTCTTGAAGCAAAAGGACCCATCGAATTAGGCGTGCTTTGGAATCTTTCTTGGTAAACAGATACTTTAGGGCAGAGTGGTCCGTATAGATAGTCACTTTGGTGCTCACAATATAAGACCGGAATTTCTCACAAGCAAACACCACTGCAAGCAATTCTTTCTCTGTAGTAGTGTAGTTAAGTTGGGCATCATCCAAAGTTTTACTAGCATAGTAGATGGGATGGAAGACCTTTTCTACTTTTTGTCCTAGAACTGCTCCAACGGCAAAATCACTAGCATCTGCCATAATGATGAAGGGTAGCTCCCAATTAGGTGCCACTAAAATTGGTGCTGAGGTGAGCTTCTTCTTTAATTCTTCAAAAGAGTTCATACAAGTGTCATCAAACTTGAACTCCCTATCTTTCTCCAACAAATTGCACAAAGGCTTAGTGATTTTAGAGAAATCTTTAATGAAACGACGGTAGAATCCCGCATGACCCAAGAAACTTCTAATACCCTTAACACTTGTTGGTGGAGGCAATTGCTCAATAACAGATATCTTTGCCTTGTCAACTTCTAGGCCTTGTTTGGATACTCGATGACCAAGGACAATGCCCTCTTGCACCATGAAGTGACATTTTTCCCAATTCAGAACCAAATTAGTTTCTTCACATCTTTGCAAAACAGCCGCCAAATTATCTAAACAACAATCAAAAGAATCTCCAAAAACAGAGAAGTCATCCATGAACACTTCAATTGTTTTCTCAATCATGTCAGCAAAGATGGCCATCATGCATCTTTGAAATGTTGCTGGAGCATTGCAAAGACCAAATGGCATTCTTTTGAAAGCAAACGTGCCATATGGACAAGTAAAGGTTGTTTTCTCTTGATCTTCTGGGGCTATTACAATTTGGTTGTATCCTGAATACCCATCCAAGAAACAAAAGAATTCTTGCCCAGCAAGTTTATCCAACATCTGATCAATAAATGGCAGCGGGAAATGGTCTTTTCTGGTTGCTGTATTTAACTTTCGATAATCCATGCAAATTCTCCACCCAGTCACAGTACGAGTTGGAACTAGCTCATTTTGGGTGTTAGCCACTACAGTTATACCGCCTTTTTTAGGGACGCATTGAACTGGGCTCACCCATGAACTATCAGAAATAGGGTAGACTATGCCAGCAGAAAGCCATTTCAGGATCTCTTTCTTGACTACTTCTTTCATAACTGGGTTTAATCTCCTTTGATGCTCAATGGAAGGTTTGTGACCATCCTCTAATAAAATCTTGTGCATACAAATAGAAGGGCTGATCCCTTTGATGTCAGCTATGGACCACCCAATAGCTTTCTTGTGGTGTCTCAAGACCCTTAACAGTTTCTCTTCTTGCAACGTGGACAACTTAGAAGAAACGATCACAGGTAAAGTAGTAGAATTACCCAAGTAGGCATACTTGAGATGTGATGGTAAAGTCTTCAACTCCAACACCGGCGGTTCATCCACAGAAGGCTTTAGAGGAGAGCTTAAAGCACTAGTCACATCCAGAGGCTCAAAAGTCTTAGCTTTTCGATACGGAAATGCTTCAATACTCATCATTTCTGCATAAGCTTCAACCTTGCCATCAATACTACTTGTTTCTCCAATCAACAATGCTTCTAATGGGTCTTTGGTCAAAGAGTTAATCAACTCCTCTTGCACTGTAGAATCAATCACATCGATACAATTACAGTGAGCAGAATCATCTGGAAACTTCAAGGCTTGATTCATGTTGAATATCACCTTCTCATCATTTACTCGCATGGTGATCTCACCCTTTTCTACGTCAATGAGGGTTCTTGCAGTAGCTAAGAATGGCCGTCCCAAAATAATGGGGATATTCCAATCTACCTCACAGTCTAACACAATGAAATCAGCTGGGAATATGAATTTGTCTACCTTCACCAAGACATCTTCTACAATCCCTTTTGGATATGAGATACTTCTGTCAGCAAAGAGCAATGTAACAGTTGTTGGCCTTGCTTCACCCAAATTTAATCGATTAAATACAGCTAGAGGCATCAAGTTAACACTTGCTCCCAAATCGCATAGGGCTTTTCCATTGAAGTGTTTGCCTATGTTACAAGGAATATAAAAGCTGCCTGGATCTCTCAATTTGGGTGGGAGTTTTCGCTGCAAGATGGCACTACAATCTTCAGTCAGAGCCACCGTTTCAAATTCACCAAATCTCTTCTTTTTGGAGAGAACATCCTTAAGAAACTTAGCATACTTAGGCATCTGCTCTAATGCTTCAGCAAACGGGATGTTGATGTGTAATTGCTTAAACATGTCCACAAATTTCTTGAACTGGACATCTTCATCTTTCTTCTTGAACCTTTGAGGAAAGGGAAGTGGCGGCATCTGTGTAGCAAGAGGGGGAGTTGTCTTCCTCTTTTTATCATCAACCATTTCACCCTCTACATTCTTTCCTCGAACCACATCAGTGAGATTTTCTTCTGTTTGTTTCCTTTTCTTGGTTTCTTCCTCTTCTACTATACCACCTTCTTCTGAAAGCTCATTTGTATCAAGGTCAGTCGCCATACTGTTAGTGATGTCCTTGCGTCTGACTAGGCCTCTGAATGTCAGGTATTGCTTTCCACTTCTCAAACTGATAGCTTTGCACTCTTCATTACCATCCCTTTTTGGATTGGGAATGGTATCACTTGGTAAGCTGCTTCTTGTGAGTACATTCATTTGTGAAGCCAGTTGACCCATTTGCACCTCGAGATTCTTGATGGCAGTTTCATGGAGAGAAAATGTTGCCTTATTCTCAGCCCTTGCAGATTCTTGATTTGCTAATAGTTGAGCAAACATCTTCTCAATTTTGGATTCTTCCTTTTGAGGATGCTGCTGTTGCAATTGATGTTGCTGTGGTTGACCATGAAAACCAGGAGGCCCCATTTGTTTAGCACCAGATGGTAATATTTGTGGAGGATTCAAACTTGGCCCATTTCGCCAAGAGAAATTTGGGTGATTTCTCAAATTTGGATTGTAAGTTTGAGAGTAAGGGCTTCCTTGTGGTCTTTGCTGCGCATTATTCATATAATTGACTGTCTCCAAGGTGTATGGGCATTGATCAGAATGATGTTCCTCATTACAATGGTCACAAGTGTATCCCGGAGCCTGAAGTGCATGAACTCCTGCAGCATTTCCTTTCTTAATCTGCAATTCCAGATTGTCAAATCTCTTAGATATTGCTTCAAGTTGCGATGCAATATCCCTTGATGATGAAGAACTAGGCTCCTTATATCTCCCAGAACTTTGCCTTCTTTTGTTATACTGTTGCATAGTGCTAGATGCCACCTCTTCATACAGTTCATATAGCTCATTTACCTTCATCTTTCCGATTCCTCCGTTTGAAGCGGTATTCAGCATTGTCACTGTCTGATCATTCAACCCATTCCAGAAGGCTTCCATTAGAACATATTTCTTTTGCTCATGATTTGGACAATTTCTCCACATATCCTTGAATCTTTCCCAAGCCTCGTAGAATAACTCATCCGGATGCTGCTCGAAAGAAAGCAATTCACCCCTTAATGTAGCACGTTTGCCCCTTGGAATAAATCTGCCCTTGAACTTAGACACAAGATCATCCCAAGTCTTAATGGAGTGTTTTGGTAAAGAATTCAACCACGTTTTCGCCTTGTGAGATAATGACATGGGGAACAATCTCAATCGCAGTGCATCTTTAGTAACCCCAGTTTGTTTGAAGTTCTCACAAACCTCTATAAACTTGGTCAAATGCTCATTGGATCATCCTTAAAATTTCCTTCAAAAGTACCCATCATCCCCAGTAGTTGAATCATAACGGGCTTGATTTCAAAATTCCTGGCTTGAATGTCTGGTAGCCGGATACTTGAGTGAAAAGTCTGCCCTTCTTTATCCAAATAGTCATCCAGGGTGTACACATTATTCTCATCTTCCTCTGCCATGTTTTCTTCTGATTCTGATTCAAGTGGTGGTGGTGGTGGTGGCGGCGGTGGAAGTAACTGAGTTTGTTGTTGAATCTCCGGTGTGTTTTCAGTTTCTCCCGACCTGGATACTTCTTCAGTAACTTCTTCCACAATAACTTCCAGTCTTCCTTGCATGCGTCAGGGGTTACCTGCACATTCAAATCAAAAACAAAAGTATCAAACTTATCAAGAGAAATGAACAAAATAAATACTACTACTACCTATAATCACTACAAATGCTAACTGAAACTTAAGCGTAACCAAGCACACAATAAGGACAATCAACCTCAAACACTCTAGCCGTTAGTCCCCGGCAACGGCGCCAAAAACTTGTTCACCAATAACTTGACCGCAAGTGGACGGGTCACAAGTAATATAAAAAGTATCGTTCCCTCAGAGACTAAGGCTAGATGAGTTGAAAAATCATAATTGTGTATTTGATTAGGTTAAGTGAAAAAATTGTTGTAAAAGAGTTTGTGAAATGAAAATTAAGAAAACAATGGTTTAAAGCAGTATAAAATCAAATCGACCTTGAAACAATTAAGAGACTAGGGTTATTCTTCACTAAAGTACTTCATGAAACTGGATTAATTACTTCTCAAGTAGTGCTTTACAATAAGTTCAGTTAGCCTGGGTTTATAGAATTGATTAAGCTTTCTCAAGTCAAAACCAAATGTTGCAAACACAATTAAAACACAGCAATCTCTTGCATTTGTTTGAAAAGGTTGCTCTTTAAAAACCAAAACCCATTTAGTCTATGCTAGGTCAACAGATACATCTCTGATCAATCGACAAACCATCTATTCACTCAAATAAATTTCTGGACTAGCATGTTTTTACCAAAGTTCACGAATTAGTTTAACTCTCAAGTTAAACTAATCAATCAATCAATCCAAATGATGGCCAGACAAAAGGAAGCATTAAGCTCAAAGTAAAAACAACGAATATTATCATTAACACTAAAGAGATAGTAAAACCCAAGTCTCAATCCATACAATAGATCAAAATAACCCTAGAAAAACGGATTTAGCTATACATATCGAGTAAAGAACTACAACTATAAGAGTATCTAGTAGTCATAGCAGAAACAAGAAGGGAAGAAGAAGGAAACCCAGAAAATTCAAGTTACAAGCTTTGAATCTCTTCTAGCTTCAAGCCCAAAGGTTCCAAGCCTCCAAAACTCCAAACCCTAGCAGAGCCAGCCTCCAAAATTGCTCCAAAAGTCGAACCCCCTTCAGAAAACCCAGTTCCACCTCTATATGCCCTAATGTTTTAAGTTAGCAAGTAAAACGCATAACTGCGAGGGGCCAGGTGCCGCGGCGTATTCCTTCAGGCATCGCGGCGCCTATTACAGAATGACATTGTGGCTCAGGCGCCGCGGCGCATGTGATAATAGGTCGCGGCGGATTTCACCGAACAGGTTTCCTCCGAGATAGCTTGGGCACCGCGGCGGATTCAGCAAGGCGCCGCGGCGGATTTCACAGAGGCGCACTCCTCCCTTTCTGTTTGATCTGCCGCGGCGTTTTCTTCCAAGAGGCTGCGGCGGATGCCTTCTTTTCAGCTTTACTCCATTCTTTACTCTCCTCAGGCTTTGTTTCCTGCAAAATTGACTTATAAACCCAATAAAAGAGCGTTAAATCAGCTTAATTCAGTAGGAATTTTGAGAGGTTATCAGGGAGCTTAAAGTATGATGAAAGAAAGCCAACTCAAAAAAGAACCTGAAAGAGTTACCCTCTCTGTATTCTTCGTCGCGACACAAGATGGTCTTTGTTGCAGTGAAGTCCTCAAGCTCACAACACCTCCTCCCTAGATTCTTAACCATAGAAATGAATTGGTTTCACTGCAGCAACAACCATCAGATAGCAAAAAGTAGAGTTTTACTTATCTGAGTTTGGGAACCCCCAAATTAGGTTAAGAGCTCGAAATTCTGAGGAGCCTGCCACCATTCCACTTTCAGAAACACATAATCTCACTTCCTCTCATTTTCTCTCAACTCTCCACCACTCCCAACCATAAATTCTTCACTTTTACTTCATTTCATCAACAATCTTCCATATTTGAACTGATTAATCCTCACTATTCCACCTCTACGTCACCTTTTCATACCTATTTCGTCTTCCATGGTTACCAAGAGTGTTGAAACTGATTGGAGCAAGATTGGAGCTATGAGTGGCTGAACTTGTGGTACTCTTAGGTGTTGGGGATTTAAGCTTGAGCTCATAAACTACAATAGGGTGTTGCTATTTTCAATTGTTGTAGCTATGTGTATTTGAATCTCTAAATTCAGGATTTAAATTCATATTCTGCTACCTTGAATTGCTAATAAGTTATCCTTATGATTGATTTTCTTGTATTTGACTTAGATGATGTTGATGTGGTTTTTTAAGTAATGTATGATTATATCTTTCTTAACCCTTGGCTTTTGATTGATTTGCAATGATTATTATTAGTTAATTTGATTGCCATTGGGTCTTGGATACTAATCAGTATCCAAGGAGAGCATTGCATTACTCCATTTTATTTAGACACTAAGTGGTCTTGCAATAATGTTTTGAGAAAGTGTTAATTTATTTTGACCAAAGTGATTTTCACTAATTCAAGCATTGGGCCTAAACGATTGTTTAGGATTTTAATTAAGACTTAGTGCTTTCAGCTCCCAGTATTTTGAAAAAATAGGGATAGCTCAATTCCCATTACCAAAAACGTTTTTACTAAAACCCTTCAATCCAAAACTATTCCACTTCACTACTCTTATAACTAAAAGTTCAAAAACAAGCACTTTTTCCTTACATCATTTCTTTTATCCTTATCGACCATGAACTTTGACAATCAAATCCAATTTTACAATGTTTTTTAAACACTTAGCTATTTAGGATTCAATTAAGGCTCCGAGAGTGAAATGTCCTAAGGCTGTATCATTGTAGTGCAATCTTGGGTTAATTTGTGATCTTGGCTCTCAAGGCATTTAGTAATCAGTCAAATCAGTGGAAGTTCTTACCATGACGAAGAATTTCAAGAGCAAAAGATCCTCACACGCATGGTTTCACCACGGTGTAGCCAGGAATTGGCCACGACGAAGGGCAGAGACGTGTAAAACAAGAGGTGTAATGCAATTTTCAAACTCTTTATAGCAATCATCAAAACCATAACGAAAAAGGTTCAACAATACCAAAATTTATCTCATCCAAATACAATTTTAAAAAGCAACAAGTGATGAAAGGGATAGATCTAGTTGAATTCAAACACAAACTCCCTCCCCCACACTTGAATCAAACATTGCTCTTAATATTTATCAAGCACAAAATTGACAAACTACTAAGTGAACTGGACATTGTGAAGTCTAATTTAAATTGGAGCACAACACATCAAATCCATGGAAAGAGAGAAGGGAGTGATTAAGCCAGGAAAGAAAGGTAAAGAGAAATGAATAAAACAAGTACATGAGGTAACCAATAACAGCACAAAGGAAACAACTAGAACATGGCCATTAGTAGCCTTGAAACCATTCAAGTAAATAGGAAATACAAGTTAAAAACAATCCAAAGATGAGAAACACCACAAAGTTAACAAAAGTTGAAATATCCTTCCTTAAACCCCTTTTAGTGCACGTTTGGAAGCATTACGGTTCAAGCAGAACACGAAACAAGCTCGTAGATTAAAAAGTTGAAATTTGTTTATCCGATTACTATTTATAGAAAAATTGTATTGAGGTGATTCAAAATTTTATTTGAACCTCTTTAAATTCTTTATGAGGAAAAATGTAAATCTAGACTTATCTCTTGCCAATTTGTACAGTTTATTGCATGAACCTTATTGTTCATTTAGTCGAAATAGTATTTTTTAGATTCTCTGCCCTGACTTTATACGATCATAACTTTTAGCGCACACATCCAATTTAAGTGATTTGCCATTTGTTTTAAAGCTTAAAATGTGTTCTAGATACTTACCAAATTTTATAAGCAGATTCATTCATTTGCCTCACTTTCACTCTATAGCAATATCATGGTTTATTTAGAGACAAACTATCCTCCTTACTTGCATTAATAATTGATTAACCTTTCAAACATATTATTATTCTATCCATGTACTAAACACTCCCATACAACATCATAGCAATTATACATGCTATTATCATTATTCAGCATCACATAATATTAGTAGCACATTTACATCATACATTGGTAAACAAATTACATAATGTGATACAATACATTTCTTGAATTCTTATGTCTTTTCCTTGCCTCCTTTTCATGCATTCTTTTGCTTGATCATTATCAACTATTAAGGTTAGTTAAGGGACGGTGAGATTTAGGAGAATCTCAGTAGCAAATAATTACCCATATGCATACAATACTAATGCTTGATGGATGACATGCTTGGTTACATGCTTTCATGCTTATAAAATGACATGCTTTAATGTTCAGAGTTCCATTCACACATAGGCATGGAACATACAAGAAATAAAGCAACACTCGATCTTTCATAATGTAAGTCATCATCAACACCAACACATAAGCATATATATTAAGCATACAATAAGGGTAAGTTCACTACTTTTTATCCTTAAGCATTTTTCTTGCTCCCTTTATTTCTCAACCACCAAGATTGCTTGAACGATCTTGTCATTCCTCTTTCTTGGTGTCTAATGGCCCTAAATTCACAATACATAATAATAGCCAATACTCTAAGACCATGAAAACTATTAAC